GGAACGAGCCTGATCGGAAGACTATAACTATAGCATATTGCACTTACCTTACTTATTATAATACCCTCTGCAAGGGTATAAAAAGAAATATTGCTGTTTTTCAATTTTTTTATTTTTCGAGATATTTGTTTATTATTTCTAAATTACGATTCGAATTTCAATAAAATCGGCCGACTATAGCATATAGAATAATCGGAATAGCAGATAAATAAAATGTAACTCTTTTGAACATTGCTATAGTTAACAATTTCAGAATTACGCCTTAAATTTTATTAAAATAAGAAGACGATTTCATATAGCTGCCATAAGAACGATCGAATAAATGAGCTAAAAATCGTCAAAATTTTTATGTTTTAAAAAAAATTAATTTTGGCAATAGCGGCAGGAGTATATCAACTGCAGATAGCTTCTTTTCTTGTTTTCAGATGGAATGAAATCGGAATTTTTTCGTGAAATATAGTCAAAGTACCCCAATATTATTACAAACATTTTTTACAAAAAAACTACTTGCTATACTTTACTACTTAATTTATTGTATGTAATATGTCTGGCTGCCAATAGAACATAAAAATGTTTATAACAACGTTGTTTTTAAGATATTTTCTATATCTTGCTCATTTTTTTGCATGTTTTGTCGACTGCATATAATTTTGCCTAAACCAATAATAGTTTTAAATTTTATTTTTAAAATGATATCGTTTTCCGATTCTAATAAAATTAAAATCGTAATTCTAAACTGTCAATTAATAAGTAAAAAAAACAAAATAGAAAAGTTACATTTATTTAAAATTTTGTTTTATGTTTTTATTGTTATCAGGGAGCTTTATTTTATAGTCGTCCGATTTTGATGAAATTTAAACCATAATTGTGAAATATTTAACCATTACTAATTCTTCAGCTTACTAAATGTCGAAGAACCAAAAAAGAATTTTAAAAACAGCAAAATTATAATTTTTTTTATTTTTTTTCGATTGTTCCTATGACAGCTATATGCTATAGTCGTCCCTCGTAGTCCTACCCTCTGCAAGGGTATAACAAAATTTTACTTCTCTAAATTTTAATTTATTTTTGACAAAGTAATAATTTTATAGTTTAGAATTACGCTTTCAATTTTGTTCAAATCGGAAAACGATATCATATAGCTGCTATAGTAACGAAAATCATCATAGCTTCAATGTTTTTATAAATCAAAATTAAGATGTTTTAAAGAGCATTTAATTTGTTTTCTTTCTTGTTTTGTAATGCATTAAGTTTTCCCATAGTAAAGTAAACCTATTTTTTAACATTTCCTGGCTTAAATACATATAAATATAATAACCATCAACAATATATGATGATATTGCCAAATACATTTAATACATTTAAGAATTTTAACTGATCTTTTGGATATATAGACATCCGCTTCATATTGGCCGCCTATGAGAGAGAGCGAGAGGCAAATAACCAGCGAGCACTTTCGACAATGCAGAGCGTTGCCAGACTTCTGTGATGAACTCACGATGAATGATTGTCAGGTCCTGGCGAACAGAATACAAAATTTAATCTTTGATTTTGTTGGATCTAAACTTGCAAGCGAAAAGGAGGGAAAAAAGACAAAAACACGAAAAAGCCACCATTCCAATACCAAATTTAGCTCTAGCGTCGTTAATATTCAACATCTTCGATTCATCTTAAAAAATACTGAATCACAACCGAATCTTTAGCCTACTAATCGCAACAGCGAGTTGTAGCGACTTTTCCGTCTCTTTCTACCACAAATACCTCTTATGGAACAAAAAGCCGTTGAAGCGGAATTTGGCTACTTTGTTAATAGGCTTTTACAACAACAACCACTAACAAAAGCTGGTAAGCGAAAATGAGGGGATACGGATTTTATGGCGAGGGCTGGCTAAAAGCTTTTTTACCTTTAAGACTTGGTAATGCATTGATATTCAACCATATTTAAGCAGTTACCAAGTACCCAATAAGTAAAATGACAGTTTTAACGTAAAAATTCGCTTGCAAATAACAATGTTAATATATCCTCTAGAGCTGTATAACAATCGACGATAGTATCGATGTTATCAATGGCGTCTGTGGAACACCTAAGTCTGGTGGAAGTGGCCAAGTGCTACCTATGCATATTCCTCGTCGGAATCTGAGAGGATGTTTAGCAGAGCCCTCCAACGAATGGATTTAATTTTTTTTTGGCTCAATGTCTACTGAACTAAATTTATTTTCATTTTGTTACTAACATTCCTTAAGTTCCCAAGGAATGGATCTCATTGTTTTGTTTTGTTTGAATTTATAATAATAATATTTTAAATTAACTGAAACTTTATTACAAAGAACTATTAAAACAAAAATTGTTAAGTCGATATTATCGATGGCTTAAAATTTCACTATCAAAAATATCGAGTGGGGGCACAATCGAGGTTCTTATTGATAGAGGTGGTATACCAGATATCGAAAAAAGATCACGAGGACGGCGCCAAAACAGTCGAACGCACTTTTTCCCCATCTCTAGCGGCCTATGCTAAATGTGTCAGTTCCGAAATACTCCGGGACTGACAGCCCACGGTCTCTCGTTGGATTAGTGATACATACACCTAGAATGTTTTGATGGCCGGTGGGGCTACGTCCCGGATCAAACATCTCCGCAACTGGGTAAAAAAAGAGAGGCAGCATTTTAAATTGCACTGCTGTTGCTGCTGTTGTCATCGCTCTGATACAGTCTGCTTCACGCTGGGCCCTTGGCTCAGTGTAATTATCGAACGTGTACTCCTGGCTGGCAACGTTGAGCACGCCAGCTCGATTTCCCTTCGAGTGCCACGTTGTCTGTGGCACCGTCGGCTGCAGACCAGGGCTTTCTCGCCAGGTTCACCGCCTTTTGGAATTCCTTCAGAGAAAAGTCCTCAAAAGGCTGGAGCGACTTCCTTACGGACTTTTCTCCGCAATTTGGCTTTGGAACAGCGCCGGGTCGGCGCAGGCCACTACCGCCGACCACGTTTCTCGGATTTTCGCTAACCACCGCGCGCCCAGAGCAGCGGTGGCTGCATACGAGGCAACCGTGGGGGCTAAAGGGACCAGTGGCGGCATAGCCCGGCGGGACTCAAGCCACGACTAATTCGTCGTAGCTACTCAAAGCATCCCACATACAGCTTGCTCGCTCGCTTCTCATCATAAGTTGTGAATAGCTCAAATAGTACGGCGGCGTGTCCGGCGGCAACGGCACTGGTAGCGCTAAATTTTGGCACTTCGGTCGCATTCGCGGCCGTCGTTACCGAGACGAGGAAGCATACGCCAAGCTGGCTCCGGCCATAATGGCGGAGCTCCTCAATCTCCGCAGCTTCTGTGGCTGCAAGCGACGTTCCCTGTCCCTCCAATAAGGAGAGCGTCTCCTCTAGCATCGGCTCCGGACATCCAGTTGCGCCATAAACTGCAGGAACTTTGGCCTCCGAAGCATCACGCGGCGTTCCCCTGCCGCGCTTGCCTTTACGGCGACCTCTGATAACATCCCTCGTCGCGCTGCTTGACCTACTACTGGCCGACATCTCACTTTCCGAAGCACAAATTTAGCTGGATCTAGAAATCGACGATTTTAAGCTCATTTATTCGATAGTTCCTAAGGCAGCTATATGATATCGTTTTTCGATTTTAGTAAAATTAAAAGCGTAATTCGGAACTGAAAAAAAAAATTAAAAACAGCAAAGTTATAATTCTTTAAAATTTTTTTTTTAAACTAATTTGCTAAAAAATTATTACCATCTGGCTAAACAGCTGATTGTTATTTACAAGACGTCGCTTACAAACATCGATTCCATGTATCCGATAACAATTCAATCCGAACAGTTGCAAAAATAATAAGTGTTTTGCGCTTAACCTTTTGAAGTTCTGCTATATAAAATATTTAGTTTTTGTTTTCTTTTATTATGCTAGCTCTAAAAAATTATAAGCAAACATTATTTAAAATCCAGGAAGCGACTATAGAAACAATCGAAAAATGTATTCGAAAATCTACACAATTTTATTGTTTGTAGTACTTTTTTAGAATATTACATTTGTGTTTTTGTTGCCATATCCGCTTCCTGAAGTCTGCTTTCTTTTAGGTTTTTAATTTTATTTAAATTTGGTTAATATTTATTTATTGACAATTTACTATTCAATTTATATAAAGAAAAATCTTTGGGCAAAACATTAAATCACATTAAATTTTCTTAGGCAGACTTTACATACAAACTGAACTTGCTGAAATTTCAGAAGTTCAGCAACCCAGTGTCTGCTGAAAATGTTCAGTATATTTCTGCTGAATTTTCTGCATTTCAGAGATTCAGTCGTTTCGGGAATACTCAAATTGTTCGCCTCATTCATTGACGGATTCATTGAAGCTCAGATACAGAGACAACTATAAGGATACTGCTTTAGATTTTTTTTGGTAATTGTGTTTATCCGGCTAATTTAAACGATTAAAGGTTTTTTGTTGTCATCTTTAAATGGTAAAAAATATTTCGTATACATTTAAGCCTCACATTTTCGTTCCGTTTTGTCGTTTGTACTTAAATAAAATATTGCTCATTGATGTATCAGCCCCGTTGGTATTTATCGAATGTTATTTTTTTTACCTAATTCCGTCTAGTATTTTACTATCGAGTATCTGGTTCTGTCAATTTTCTTTATTCATTGTTCATTGGAAAAGTCATACGATTGTCTTGCTCGCACTTACGTAAAATCGTATAATTAAAAAAATAAATAAGCAATGAATGAGGTCAACAGTGTAGTGTCATAAGCCCATTATCAATGAAGAATTTATTTGGTTTTTTCATTTTCCGATCGCTACAATTGTTGAAATCATGTCAACCAGGACAAGCCGATTTTTTTTAAAACCCCACTCCACCGTCCTGTATCTCGGCAAATTTTCTATTTATATTTTTTATATATTGTTTTTGGTTTTTTTTATCTTTTAGCCTGATTCCATTGCCGCATTAGTGGACTTTTTAAATGTGCCTGATTCCATTGGCGCATTAGCATTTAGCTAATGCTGCTCCGACATGTGAGTGGCACGAGCAGCTGATCTGGAAAATAAATTAATTAAAATTAATGAACATGAGTGAGCTTATTTAATTCTGTAATGCTCAGCAGGACATCCATAACTGGGCATCCATCCTGGGCAGGCACAATCTCAAAAACTGGAACGAGGAGGGATCTCTGGCGGCCCCGGTACATCCATCCCGACTTCAACAGCCAGCTGAGCAGCTACGATGCTGATATTGCTGTGATCATGCTTAAGGACGAAGTTCGGTGAGTTTTTGATTTTTTTTTAATAATTAGTTGTATTAAAGTTTTGTATATATTGTATAACATGGTCTACCCAGAAAACTGCGACTTATTTCGGGTCGATTAGTTTTAGATTCAACCAAAAAGCCGAACATTGTTACAGAATCATTATTTATGCATTTCTAAGTAAATTTGCTTCGATTTTTAAAAAGTCTAATTCTGCTCTTTGATTGGTTTAAAATCTTTGATTGGTTTAAAATCGTTTAGTCGGAATTAAAGCGGTTTCTGCAATACCGAGCTTTGATTTTGGATTGAAATTTGTTTGAAAGAGATTATTGTGACACCCAAATATATTTATATGTGTATACTTTTCATATAAATCGTGTAGTGCAGCGTAAGTAGCATTTCACATGGTTATAGCTTAAGATGTTGAAAAGCTAAGGGAGTACAAAGTGCAGCGTTTCTAGCTCATTTAAATAAATTCTTAACACAATCAAAATGATTTCAGGTTCCTAAGATAAAGAAAAAAAGCCAACAAGAATTAATTAGACAGACAATAAGTCTTAAGTGTTACTTAAGAAACAGGAGTTTGGTGCTTTTTCCAAAATCGCAATTGATTATGATACATGAAGATTTTAAAAGTGTATTTCGTCGGATGTGCGATCGTCACGACTTTTTTATACGCTTGCAGCGGGTATTATAATTTCAGTCAGAAAATTTCAGCGCAGTGAAGGAGACCATAAAGTATATATATTCTTGTACAGCATGACTTGGAATTCGATCTAGCCGTGTCCGTCTGTCCGTCCGTTTCTAAACTAGTCTCTCAGTTTTAAAGCTATCTACATGAAACTGAAAAGTTGTCCTCCTATTGCAGGTAGTACATAAGTCGGAACGAGCCTGATCGGAAGACTATAGCATATAGCTCCCATAGGAACAATAAAAAACAAGAAAGGAAGCAAACTTCGGCAAGCCGATGTTCATATACCCTTGCAGCTATTGCAAGAATTAAATATTTTTTAAAACATTAAAATTATGATTTACTTGCGTATATGTCTAAAAACATTGAAGCTATGATGATTTTATTATATGATATAGTCGTCCGATTTTGATGAAATTTAAACCGTAATTCTGAAATATTTAACCATTACTATATGTCGAAGAACTAAAAGAAAAATTTAAAAACAGCAAAGTTATAATTTTTTTGTATTTTTTTTGCGATTGTTCCTATGGGAGCTATTTTTTCGATTGTTCCTATATGCTAGAGTCGTCCGATCCGGCTGGTTCCGACTTATATACTACCTGCAATAGAAAGACAACTTTTGGAAAAGTTTCATGCAGATAGCTTTAAAACTAAGAGACTAGTTTGCGTAGAAACGGACGGACAGACGGACATGGCTCGCCTAGTGATGCTGATCAAGAATATATACACTTTATAGGGTCGGAGCTGTCTCCTTCACTGTGTTGCAAACTTCTGACTGAAATTATAATACCCTCTGCAAGGGTATAAAAAGAAATATTGCTGTTTTTCAATTTTTTTATTTTTCGAGATATTTGTTTATTATTTCTAAATTACGATTCGATTTTCAATAAAATCGGCCGACTATAGCATATAGAATAATCGGAATAGCAGATAAATAAAATGTGACTCTTTTGAACATTGCTATAGTTAACAATTTCAGAATTACGTCTTAAATTTTATTAAAATAAGAAGACGATTTCATATAGCTGCCATAGGAACGATCGAATAAATGAGCTAAAAATCGTCAAAATTTTTATGTTTTAAAAAAAATTAATTTTGGCAATAGCGGCAGGAGTATATAAACTGCAGATAGCTTCTTTTCTTGTTTTCAGATGGAATGAAATCGGAATTTTTTCTTGAAATATAGTCAAAGTACCCCAATATTATTACAAACATTTTTTACAAAAAAACTACTTGCTATACTTTACTACTTAATTTATTGTATGTAATATATCTGGCTGCCAATAGAACATAAAAATGTTTATAACAACGTTGTTTTTAAGATATTTTCTATATCTTGCTCATTTTTTTGCATGTTTTGTCGACTGCATATAATTTTGCCTAAACCAAAAATAGTTTTAAATTTTATTTTCTAAAATGATATCGTTTTCCGATTCCAATAAAATTAAAAGCGTAATTCTAAACTGTCAATTAACAAGTCAAAAAAACAAAATAGAAAAGTTGCATTTATTTTAAATTTTGTTTTATGTTTTTATTGTTATCAGGGAGCTTTATTTTATAGTCGTCCGATTTTGATGAAATTTAAACCATAATTGTGAAATATTTAACCATTACTAATTCTTCAGCTTACTAAATGTCGAAGAACCAAAAAAGAATTTTAAAAACAGCAAAGTTATAATTTTTTTTATTTTTTTTTCAATTGTTCCTATGACAGCTATATGCTATAGTCGTCCCTCGTAGTCGTACCCTCTGCAAGGGTATAATAAAATTTGACTTCTCTATTTTTTAATTTATTTTTGACAAAGTAATAATTTTATAGTTTAGAATTACGCTTTCAATTTTGTTCAAATCGGAAAACGATATCATATAGCTGCTATAGTAACGAAAATCATCATAGCTTCAATGTTTTTATAAATCAAAATTAAGATGTTTTAAAGAGCATTTAATTTGTTTTCTTTCTTGTTTTGTAATGCATTAAGTTTTCCCATAGTAAAGTAATCCTTTTTTTTAACATTTCCTGGCTTAAATACATATAAATATAATAACCATCAACAATATATGATGATATTGCCAAATACATTTAATACATTTAAGAATTTTAACTGATCTTTTGGATATATAGACATCCGCTTCATATTGGCCGCGAGAGAGCGAGAGGCAAATAACCGGCGAACACTTTCGACAATGCAGAGCGTTGCCAGACGTCTTTGATGAACAGAATACAAAATTTAATCTTTGATTTTGTTGGATCTGAACTTGCAAGCGAAAAGGAGGGAAAAAAGACAAAAACACGAAAAAGCCACCATTCCAATACCAAATTTAACTCTAGCGTCGTTTATATTCAACATCTTCGATTCATCTTAAAAATACTGAATTACAACCGAATCTTCAGCCTACTAATCGCAACAGCGAGTTGTAGCGACTTTTCCGTCTCTTTCTACCACAAATACCTCTTATGGAAGAAAAAGCCGTTGAAGCGGAATTTGGCTACTTTATTAATAGGGGCTGGCTAAAAGCTTTTTTACCTTAAAAACTTTAATGCATTGATATTCAACCATATTTAAGCAGTTACCAAGTACCCAATAAGTAAAATGACAGTTTTAACGTAAAAATTCGCTTGCAAATAACAATGTTAATATATCCTCTAGAGCTGGAAAACAATCGACGATAGTATCGATGTTATCAATGGCGTCTGTGGAACACCCAAGTCTGGTGGAAGTGGCCAAGCGCTACCTATGCATATTCCTCGTCGGAATCTGAGAGGATGTTTAGCAGAACCGTCCAAAGAATTTTTAATTTTTTTTGGCTCAATCTCTACTGAACTAAATTTATTTTTATTTTGTTACTAACATTCCTTAAGTTCCCAAGGACGGATCTCATTTTTTTGTTTTGTTTGAATTTATAATAATATTATTTTAAATTAACTGAAACTGTAGTACAAAGAACTGTTAAAAAAAAATTGTTAAGTCGATATTATCGATGGCTTAAACTTTCACTGTCAAAAATATCGAGTGGGGGCACAATCGAGGTTCTTATTGATAGAGGTGGTATGCCAGATATCGAAAAAAAATCACGAGGACGGCGCCAAAACAGTCAAACGCACTTTTTCCCCATCTCTAGCGGCCTATGCTAAATGTGTCAGTTCCGAAATACTCCGGGACTGACAGCCCACGGTTCCTCGATGGATTAGTGATGCATACATCTGGAATGTTTTGATGGCCGGTGGGGCTACGTCCCGGATGGTGTTAGGATCAAACATCTCCGCAACTGGGTAAAAAAAGAGAGGAAGCATTTTAAATTGCACTGCTGTTGCTGCTGTTGTCATCGCTCTGATACAGTCTGCTTCACGCTGGGCCCTTGGCTCAGTGTAATTATCGAACGTGTACTCCTGGCTGGCAACGTTGAGCACGCCAGCTCGATTTCCCTTCGAGTGCCACGTTGTCTGTGGCACCGTCGGCTGCAGACCAGGGCTTTCTCGCCAGGTTCACCGCCTTTTGGAATTCCTTCAGAGAAAAGTCGACTTCCTTACGGACTTTTCTCCGCAATTTGGCTTTGGAACAGCGCCGGGTCGGCGCAGGCCACTACCGCCGACCACGTTTCTCGGATTTTCGCTAACCACCGCGCGCCCAGAGCAGCGGTGGCTGCATACGAGGCAACCGTGGGGGCTAAAGGGACCAGTGGCGGCATAGCCCGGCGGGACTCAAGCCACGACTAATTCGTCGTAGCTACTCAAAGCATCCCACATACAGCTTGCTCGCTCGCTTCTCATCATAAGTTGTGAATAGCTCAAATAGTACGGCGGCGTGTCCGGCGGCAACGGCACTGGTAGCGCTAAATTTTGGCACTTCGGTCGCATTCGCGGCCGTCGTTACCGAGACGAGGAAGCATACGCCAAGCTGGCCTCGGCCATAATGGCGGAGCTCCTCAATCTCCGCAGCTTCTGTGGCTGCAAGCGACGTTCCCTGTCCCTCCAATAAGGAGAGCGTCTCCTCTAGCATCGGCTCCGGACATCCAGTTGCGCCATAAACTGCAGGAACTTTGGCCTCCGAAGCATCACGCGGCGTTCCCCTGCCGCGCTTGCCTTTACGGCGACCTCTGATAACATCCCTCGTCGCGCTGCTTGACCTTTTACTGGCCGACATCTCACTTTCCGAAGCACAAATTTAGCTGGATCTAGAAATCGACGATTTTAAGCTCATTTATTCGATAGTTCCTAAGGCAGCTACATGATATCGTTTTTCGATTTTAGTAAAATTAAAAGCGTAATTCTGAACTGAAAAAAAAAATAATTAAAAACAGCAAAGTTATAATTGTTTAAAATTTTTTAATTTAATTTTAATTTTTTTTAACTAATTTGGTAAAAAATTATTACCATCTGGCTAAACAGCTGATTGTTATTTACAAGGAGTCGCTTACAAACATCGATTCCATGTATCCGATAACAGTTCAATCCGAACAGTTGCAAAAATAATAAGTGTTTTGCGCTTAACCTTTTGAAGTTCTGCTATATAAAATATTTAGTTTTTGTTTTCTTTTATTATGCTAGCTCTAAAAAATTATAAACAAACATTATTTAAAATCCTGGAAGCGACTATAGAAACAATCGAAAAATGTATTCGAAAATCTACACAATTTCATTGTTTGTAGTACTTTTTTAGAATATTACATTTGTGTTTTTGTTGCCATATCCGCTTCCTGAAGTCTGCTTTCTTTTTTGTTTTTAATTTTATTTAAATTTGGTAAATATTTATTTATTGACAATTTACTATTCAATTTATATAAGAAAAAACTTTGGGCAAAACATTAAATTACATTAAATTTTCTTAGGCAGACTTTACATACAAACTGAACTTGCTGAAATTTCAGCAGTTCAGCAACCCAGTGTCTGCTGAATTTTCTGCAATTCAGAGATTCAGTCGTTTCGGGAATACTCAAATTTTTCGACTCATTCATTGACGGATTCATTGAAGCTCAGAGACAGAGACAACTATAAGGATACTGCTTTACATTTTTTTGGTAATTGTGTTTATCCCGCTAATTTAAACGTTTAAAGGTTTTTTGTTGTCATCTTTAAATGGTAAAAAATATTTCGTATACATTAAAGCCTAACTTTTTCATTCCGTTTTGTCGTTTGTACTTAAATAAAATATTGCTCATTGATGTATCAGCCCCGTTGGTATTTATCGAATGTTATTTTTTTTTACCTAATTCCGTCTAGTATTTTACTATCGAGTATCCGGTTCTGTCAATTTTAAATCCGATTTTTTAATACCCCACTCCACTTGTATCTCGGCGAATTTTCATTTTATATTTTTTATATATTGTTTTTGGTTTTTTTATTATCTTTAAACATGATTCCATTGCCGCATTAGTGGACTTTTTAAATGTGCCTGATTCCATTGGCGCATTAGCATTTAGCTAATGCTACTCCGACATGTGAGTGGCACGAGCAGCTGATCTGGGCTTGTATACTTTTGAATTTTGGCAAATCCAAAAGAAATTAATTTAAATAAATGAACATGAGTGAGTTAATTTAACTCTGTAATGCTCAGCAGGACATCCATAATGCGACCGAGGCATTAGCCAACTTGGACGACAAGGAAGAGAAGCTCACTGCGTTGTTATGACTGGTTTGCAATGGAGACCACCACAGTTCCTAAAAATGGCAAGGATCCCCGTATATGTGGGAGTTATTAAATGCGAGAGATCCAGCAGTAATGCATTGTGGTACTGTGAGCAGAATTTGCAGAGTGCACTCTAGGTTTCAGTCATTTTTATACAAAATAGATTTTATATTCAAAAGACATCAAAAATTGCGCCAACCTTGCATATAGAAAACAGCTGTTTTAGTGGTGGCACGAACAAAATATCGTTAAACATCGGTATTTTCCGGTATTTTCTCTAAAAACGTTCAGGGCGAATGGTTTTTAATCGCATTAAAAAATCGCATTTATTTTAAATGCTGCATTTAGCCTTATGGGATTCCCTATGTAAATAAATTCGCATTTGGCTAAATGCGTTTTAATGCGCCAATGGAATCAGGCTATAATATTTCAATAATTGACTATTTGATTACTCCAATAGTTTTCCAATAGCCCTCCACATTCATTCCCTTAAAGCTTTGTGTGAACATCATATTATAAAGGAGTTTTGGACTTCAACGACAGCCTGTTACTGAACAGCAAGAAATTGTTCACAGATCTGGCAACGCTGGCAGTGCCCAGGCTTCCGAAGCTTTGATCGTGGTATTGTTTACGTTTTAGTTTTGCGCACATTGAGATGAGGCTGCACTTTACGGCGATCCTAATCATCTGCATCGAGCACGTGACCAAGGCGGTCGCCCAGGGGATGCCGATCAGTCCCTGCCCGAAGATATTCCAATACCGCTTCGACGGAACCGAGTGGTTCGGTCTGATGGCCGTTCGCAGTCCGGATGTCCACAGCCACCAGCCGCTCCACATCCGGGTCACCCTCTCGATGCGGGGCAAACCCACTACGGTGGGTAGACCGCAGCGCCAACCTGGAACCTTCAGCCGGGACTAACTAGCCCTTCATTTTGCAGAACTACCTGGGCGAAATCGAGCTGCTGACTCGCGGAAAGTTCGGCCACAACGCACCGATCCTTTACAAGATCCGATTCCCCAAGCACCACTTTCCCCCCAAGCTGCTGCTCATGTCGGCCAATAACCAGGTCATCTGCTTTGGATCCGGCGGTCCGTAACACCACCACCAACTGGCTGCTGGGCGCTCACATTTAACTCGGTTTCTTTGCCCGCACAGAGCACAGCGTCTTCATGACCCAAATCCAGCTGGAGCACATCAGGAAGTTGGCCTTCATTCCGGACAAGAAGAGCTCCCTGCTGCTGGATCCCGACGAGGAGGCCGAGAAAACCATCCAGCCATCCGGTTCGCCGCACATCCAGTTCAAGAAGTATGCATACGGATTTTGGTCGGTTGAATCACTCGATCGTAACATTCATTCGTTACTTAATGCCCGATTTTGCAGAAAACCCTTTGGTCAGCCGCCCAAAGAGACCTGCGGACGCATCGATAGAGACCTCGACTTCCGCTTGTTCCAAAGAAAAGACCATGTCGCAAGCGATACCAACCCAAAGAGCTCCGATGCCATTGCATCACCGGTGTTTGTCGACGACGACGACGACGATCAAGACATCGAGCACTTCGTGGACGAAACGGAAGCCGATGAGGACATCACGCTGGATGACAACAACAGCCTGCCGTCGATCACCAGGGGATCGTGGCCTTGGCTGGCGGCCATCTATGTGAACAACCTGACCTCCTTGGACTTTCAGTGCGGCGGAACGCTCGTCTCGGGACGCGTGGTGATTAGCTCAGCACACTGCTTCAAGCTGTTCAACAAGCGCTACTCCTCCAACGAGGTGCTCGTCTTCCTGGGCAGGCACAATCTCAAAAACTGGAACGAGGAGGGATCTCTGGCGGCCCCGGTAGATGGCCTTTACATCCATCCCGACTTCAACAGCCAGCTGAGCAGCTACGATGCCGATATTGCTGTGATCATGCTCAAGGACGAAGTTCGGTGAGTTTTTGATATTTTTTTTTAATAATTAGTTGTATTTAAGTGTTGTATATATTGTATAACATGGGTTAAACAGAAAACTGCGACTTATTTCGAGTCGATTAGTTTTAGATTCAACCAAAAAGTCGGACATTGTTACAGAATCATTATTTTTGCATTTCTAAGTAAATTTGCTTCGATTTTTAAAAAGTTTAATTCTGCTCTTTGATTGGTTTAAAATCGTTTAGTCGAAATTAAAGCGGTTTCTGCAATACCGATCTTTGATTTTGGATTGAAATTTGTTTGAAAGAGATTATTTTGACACCCAAATATATTTATATGTGTATACTTTCAATATAAATCGTGTAGTGCAGCGTAAGTAGCATTTCACATGGTTATAGTTTAAGATGTTGAAAAGCTAAGGGAGTACAAAGTGCAGCGTTTCAAGCTCATTTAAATAAATTCTTAACATGATTAGATGATTAACACAATAAAAATGGTTTCAGGTTCCTAAGGTAAAGAAAAAAAGCCAACAAGAATTAATTAGACAGACAATAAGTCTTAAATGTTACTTAAGAAACAAGAGTTTGCTGCTTTTTCCAAAATCGCAATTGATTATGATACATGAAGATTTTAAAAGTGTATTTCGTCAGATGTGCGATCGTCATGACTTTTTTGCAGCGGGTATTATAATTTCAGTCAGAAAATTTCAGCGCAGTGAAGTTGACCATAAAGTATATATATTCTTGTACAGCATGACTAGGAATTCGATCTAGCCGTGTCCGTCTGTCCGTCCATTTCTAAATTAGTCTCTCAGTTTTAAAGCTATCTACATGAAACTGAAAAGTTGTCCTCCTATTGCAGGTAGTACATAAGTCGGAACGAGCCTGATCGGAAGACTATAGCATATAGCTCCCATAGGAACAATAAAAAGAAAGAAATATTGCTGTTTTTCAATTTTTTTATTTTTCGAGATATTTGTTTATTATTTCTAAATTACGAATCGAATTTCAATAAAATCGGCCGACTATAGCATATAGAATAATCGGAATAGCAGATAAATAAAATGTGACTCTTTTGATCATTGCTATAGTTAAAAATTTCAGAATTATGTCCTAAATTTTATTAAAATAAGAAGACGATTTCATATAGCTGCCATAGGAACGATCGAATAAATGAGCTAAAAATCGTCAAAATTTTTATGTTTTAAAAAAAATTAATTTTGGCAATAGCGGCAGGAGTATATAAACTGCAGATAGCTTCTTTTCTTGTTTTCAGATGGAATGAAATCGGCATTTTTTCTTGAAATATAGTCAAAGTACCCCAATATTATTACAAACATTTTTTACAAAAAAACTACTTGCTATACTTTACTACTTAATTTATTGTATGTAATATGTCTGGCTGCCAATAGAACATAAAAATATTTATAACAACGTTGTTTTTAAGATATTTTCTATATCTTGCTCATTTTTTTGCATGTTTTGTCGACTGCATATTATTTTGCCAAAACCAATTATAGTTTTAAATTTTATTTTTAAAAAGTAATATTTATTTAAAAAAATTGAAATTGAAAGAAATTTTCTTCCTCTAACTTAAAAATATTTTTTTAGTGATTCATATTTTTGTGAAAAATGTTATACCCACTGTTATACTAACTTTCGGTTGTTTTTTTTGGCCCAAGTGCTATGAATCAAAAGTTGATGAATCTCAAGGTTATAGATTAAAATAGTGAAAAATAAATTGTTTGGGTCGTTTTTGAAAAAATAAGCTATTTAGACCAACTATGTCAAGCCAGCAGATTATTATTTGACAACACCTTTTTAACGACGTATAGCAATTATCTGTAGATTTACTAGCTTAGAAGCTATGGGTGCACAAAACTTTAGGTATTTTTTTAGCTGATTTCGCTCCAAACTAAATAGTTTTTTAAAAAGTGGCAGAACAAAACGGTTATTTTAACAACCTTCCCAACACATTACAAATTTTTCGAGGATTTAAAAAAAAAGTATTTTGTAATAACTTTTGAACGGACGAAGTTGGGTGTCTTTCGATGCGTATTTTCAAAAAGAATGCAACTAGGCGAAAAACAGATCATTTTACCTAACGGGCCCATTTAAAACAATAAAAAAAATCTATTTTTTGAATAACTTCTGAATGGAGCATGGGATCCAACCATTTTGGGTGTCTGACGGGGCATATATTTTATTTTATAACATTTTTAGTATGTTACTTTTAGCGCCCTTTGTCCTCAAACAATTAATTTACGTGAAGTCTTTACCTTTCGATAAGTGTATTACTCGGAATTATTGGACCATCACAGCAGTTTTGCAATTCTGCGACTATATTGAGTAGTCACCCATGCACACATTCTTTGTGCGCATAATCACTACATTTACTGCAGTCCATAGAGATAATAAGGACTATAATGAAAATTTCGTTTTTGGTTCTTTCGCCCAGGCCGATTTAATCGAAGATATAAAACAAAATGTATTTAATTAATAAATATATGTAATGAAAGGTACATTAAGATTTTATTACAAAATTATTAAAACAATCAAATGTTGCTATGTGCTATTGCGTGTTAATATTTTATGAATTTGTACATTTTGTTAGCTTATATGACCATAACAATCAATAATTGTATGCAGCATTTTTGTTTATGTAGATTCAACACCTTCATTCGCCCCGCTTGCCTGTGGTCTGGGTCCAGCAAGGCGGAGTACATTGTGGGCGAGCACGGCATCGTCATCGGCTGGAGCTTTGACAGATCGAACAGGACGCAGGATCAGAAGCCGTCAGCGGCCATGGGAAAGAAGACTGCCAAGGACACCAGCACCCCCAAGGTGGTGAGGGCGCCCGTTGTGGGCAACTCCGAGTGCTTTCGGGCCAACGCCCACTTCCGCAGCCTCTCCTCAAACCGCACCTTTTGCGCTGGCATCCACACGCAGGAACGCGATCCGCACCAGAGTAGTGCGCCTAGTCCCTACACTGGCATTTCGGGGGCCGGGCTGTTTATCCGGAAGAACAATCGCTGGATGCTGCGCGGCACTGTGTCGGCGGCACTGCCTGCCGTGGAGTCAACGGATCGCTCGGGATCAGGCCAGAAGCACTGTTGTAGCAACCAGTACATCATATATGCTGACGTGGCCAAGTTTCTTGATTGGATCACGGCCTTCATCATTTAAATCGCACCCAAATGTGAATGGAATAGCATTTATGTATAAATAAGCGCTGTGATAGCCCCATGGGCATAGCGATGGAAGGAAATCATGTAAGGCACCTTCCAAGTACTCAAAGTTATTAGCCGATTTGGGTTTTTCTTAGTTTTTCTAATGAAAATTGTGATTGCGGCATAAGATGGTAGAGCAACGCGTATAAATAAATTACTTGTATAGTACGGGATCGAAAACTAATTTTTCTTTATATATTGTTTATACCCCTGCAGAGGGTATTATAATTTCAGTCAGAAGTTTGCAAAGCTGTGAAGAAGACATTTCCAACCCTATAAAGTATATATATTCTTGATCAGCATCACTAGGCGAGTCGATCTATCCATGTCCGTCTGTCCGTACGTTTCTACGCAAACTTGTCTCTCAGTTTTAAAGCTACCTGCATGAAACTTTCCCAAAAGTTGCATTGCAGGTAGTACATAAGTCGGAACGAGCCGGATCGGAAAACTATAGCATATAGCTCCCATAGGAACAATCGGAAAAATAATTGAAAAAACATATAACTGCTGTTTTAAATTTTTTTTTAGTTCTTCGACATATAGTAATGGTTAAATTTTTAGAATTACGGTTTACATTTCATCAAAATCGGACGACTATAACATAAAGCTTCCATAAAAACAATAGAAATATTAAAAAAAACAAATTTAAATGTAACTTTTCTATTTTGTATTTTTTTTTAAATTCTTTTTAACTTATTAATAATTTGACAGTTCAGAATTACGCTTTTAATTTTCTTAAAATCGGAAAACGATATCATATATCTGCTGCCATAGGAACTATCGAACAATTGAGCTGCAAATCATCATAGCTTAAGTTTTTTTATTTCATAATTTAAATGTTTTCAAAAACGTTTAATTTTTGCAATAGCTGCAAGGGTATATGAACTTCGGCTTGCCGAACTTTGCTATTTTTTATGTTTTCCTTGCTTTCGTTTATAAAAGTTTGTTGTTATTATTCTATAGCGCTTAAAGAATTTGTGAGCCAAAAAAATACATATCTATAAAATTCTTAAGTAATGTAACCCCTTAAATTTGTTCTATTAATTTTTCGTTTATTCGATTATTATTATTCGGTCCGGCGACCTCCGATCCTGATCAAGAGTATACACACTTTTTAGGGTCGTTGCCAACTTCAGCATAAACTTATAAAACCCTCTGCCGAGGCTCAAATCCGTAAGTCAATTATGATTATATTATTTTAATATCATTTTCCTATAAGTGTAGGGACTTTCGTAGACAAAGGAAGCCGCCAATGTGGGATGTGGGCGGCCTACCGATGCAAGTGGACTCTACCCGTGGGCACCTGTCCTCCAATTACCAAGTGTAGCCTGCTCTGCGCATATGCTGACTACTATCAAGCACGTCATCAGCCGCAATCGTCGTCATCGCCATCTGCGCTGTTATCTGTTATCTTTGTTGCTGGGGCATCGACAACAGCAGTTTCGGTTTCGGTTTCGGTTTTGGTTTCCATCAACAATTAGTTTCGTCCGGACTGCGACAGCTGGTGCATCTCTGCCGGGGCTCTGGGCCCGTGGTCTCACTACCTCCGCTTCGTTTGGCCAGTCGTGGAAGATCTCTAGTCTTGTGACCCGTTCAATTGAGCCTGGCTGGCAGTGAATACCATTTTACAGAAATGGCCATATCTGCAGTCCGTTTCACACATTGCGAAGTCAGATTTATCGAAACCCAGAATGCTGGGCGGAGTGGGAGCTCGTCGCCGAAGGGGCTCATCACCTATGGCGCGTTTGACCATTAGCAACATCAACAGCCTGGATGACAACATAGCCATCATCGGCGATGGCGTCATCCGGCGGAGCACCCACTACGGTTCGCAAGGGTCCAACCAAAGGACCCGCGCGCCGGAAAGCTTTGCTCTTGTCCAGACACGACCCAACCTGGGCGACATAATGTAAGTAGAAGATCCATAAACCGAACCCTAAAATACTGCCAAGAAAAATGTAAGTTAAGTTAAATATTGTAGACGCCATAGGAAAGATATTTTAGTTTATACTAGCATTTTATATACCTTTTGTTCCTAAAACAGCTAAAGAATAGTCGCTCGATTTTGTTAAAAAAAAAAACGAACAAATTTTAAGTGCAAAGTTTGTGTATTTTCGCATTTTAACTTACAAACTTTGACCATTGATCTTGGTTATATGTGGCTGAAAATACACGGTGACCTTTTTATACCCTTGCGAAAAGAAGTATAAAATTGGTCAGAAGTTCGCAGAAGAACGCAGTTAAGGAGACATTTCCGACCCTTTAAAGTATATATATTTTTGATCAGCATGACTAGACGAGTTGATATAGCTATGTCCATATGTTCGTCTGTCCATCTGATTCTATACCGTTTCCGACCTCACTTTAAAAGCTAGAGATTTGACACTTTCGCAATCGATTTTTTTTATGTGTAAGCAAAACAAGTTTGAAAACTGTGGAAATCGGACGTCTATATCCTATAGCTGCCATACGAAAAAACAGGTAAAAATTTCAGATTTTGCTGTATTCTGAAAAGTTTGAGAATACATCGCTGGATTTAGCCCCAAACTATTATTTAACAGTGTTTAGAACTTATACCTTGAGATTTTATCAATATCGGTTGACTGTGTCCTATAGCCGCCAAGTACCTTTTGTACTGACCATACAGCTCAATGACAATTATTCGCGCAGTGTTTTAAATCTTATTTGGTTATGTAGACACTGATCATGTTAAAACGAGAACGGAAGCTAGCTTGGACAACCCGAAGTTTTAATACCCTTGCAGACTTTACCGAAATATGTAGCTTATATACTGCGCGAAATATCCTGAAAAGTATAAAATTTTAAGTGATGTCTAGCTATAGCATATAGACGTCCGATCGGCACGCGCTTTTACCCTGATCAAGGTTGCATAAAAAATACGATTTGGAAATATGCATGACAATAACAATTACACTGCGCGAAATATCTTAAATTTTTGCAAGTTATAACCGATTGTTCTTATGGAAGCTATAGGATATAGACGTCCGATAAGGGCGCAAACTTGATCTGATAAACATCTCGTTTTTTGGCATTATATAATCTCTTTATATAGTTTCGTATCCATCCCTAGACAGCAGATGTATTTAAATCTCGACTGGCCGAAGTTAGCTCCTGTTCTCGTTTAAATCGAGTTTTATAGTTTATTAGCTTAGGGTATGAAAACATATTCGGATTAAAGTGCATTATTGTCAATGCAATCTATCCAATCAACCCGATCAAATGTTGTTGGTGCTCTTGAATTTTTTTGTGTGACTATTCTGAGTGAAATATAAACACCTATTGGTTTAGTTTTCCAGAGTTGAGATTTAAGCACAAAATAAGTTTAATAACATCATAAACGAATTAAATCGGAACTGAAAATAATCACTATGGTCGGCAAAACATATAGTGACGATAAGCATCGGTAAGGGTGCGCGAGAAGACTACTTTATATAGCCGCAATATTCGAGGTCAGCAAAGAATAGTCCGATTTTAAAAAAATGATACAGCAATCAATAGGTATCAGTTTTATAAGAGTTTGCATACTAAGAGTTTTAGAGAATTAATTGGTTTCGGAGAAATAGGGGTAAAGTGCAAAAAAAGTTTGTCTTTTATTGGAGCTGGTGGAGCAAAAAGAGCATTGAATACGCTTCCAACGTCACCTCAATTATCTCAATCCGATAATCTTATTAAAAATAAACAAAACAGATATAGCATTTTTGAAATGGGAACGTATCAAAGTATTTTAATATACAATAATAATAATGTTACAAAACTTATTGAATACAAAAAAGTTTTTTTTTTGGATAAATAAAAATAGTCGTTACAAAATGTAACGTCACGTTAATTTTACCTTCTCATACGGTGTTTTTGTTTGATATTAATATATAAATTTTTCCATATATGTTCTAAACATGTTTCATGAAATTAGGTTTTATTCACCGATTTTGATAGTGCAGAGAATATATTTCCGACCCTTTAAAATATATATATTCTTAATCAGTTTATATATATATACCGAATTCTTTCTGTCTTCTACTCTCTTTAATCTATATGTGTCTGGGATTGGGCTGCAAAAAAGGTTTTGTCAAAATAATATTTTTTCGCATGTTCCTGCAAACTGTAAGGTACCAATTTCTATCAAGTTATACACCGTAGTTTACCTTTAAACGCGTTTTCCCGAAAGTAGTGTTTTTTTAGCTGCCGAGTAAGACTTTTTGTAGAAGCTAGTCCGATTTTAAGACTTTTATAAAAGAACTAGTCCGATTTTAATAAATTAGTTTCCAATTGCTTACAAAATATACCGCTATGTTGGCCAAGTAGGATTTTCGATCATTTTTTTTTCCCGTTTTAAAACCCTTAGGAGTTCAAAAAACGACATAAAAATTGAATTTTTCACTTATTTGTTGCACAACTTTTGCTAAATGCAAAATAAAAAAAATCTGCTTTGGGAAAACATAGTCGACGTAACAACGAATCTAAAGAATAACATTTTTCTGAATTCTGATCAACCCGCTCGCCAAAACGTGACTTAAGTGGGCAAAAGCACTTTCCACATTTGGAAATTTTTTTTGTATGTTTAAAAACAACATTTACAAGCCAAAACATGTATCTTTAAATATAAAAAAAAAAACTTTTTAGATCTATGCATTTTAATTTTTGTAATAAATTCCCTAAATAACCACTCAGTTTCTCGCCTCAAGTGTAGAAGACGCCCTAAAGGGTTTATATAAGGTTAGAATTTTTAAAAAAATTTTATTTTGTCAATGTACATATATTTATACCCTTGCAGAGGGTATTATAATTTCAGTCAGAAGTTTGCAACGCAGTGAAGGAGACATCTCCGACCCTATAAAGTATATATATTCTTGATCAGCATCACTAGGCGAGTCGATCTAGCCATGTCCGTCTGTCCGTCTGTCCGTCCGTTTATATGCAAACTAGTCTCTCAGTTTTAAAGCTATCTGCATGAAACTTTCCCAAAAGTTGTCTTTCTATTGCAGGTAGTATATAAGTCGGAACGAGCCGGATCGGACGACTATAGCATATAGCTCCCATAGGAACAATCGGAAAAATAATTGAAAAAAAATTATAACTTTGCTGTTTTTTAATTTTTTGTTTAGTTCTTCGACATTTAGTAATGGTTAAACATTTCCGATTTACGGTTTAAATTTCATCAAAATCGGACGGCTATAGTATATAGCTCCCATAGGAACAATCGGAAAAATAAATGAAAAAAATTATAACTTTGCTGTTTTTCAATTTTTTGTTTAGTTCTTCGACATTTAGTAATAGTTACATATTTCCGATTTACAGTTTAAATTTCATCAAAGTCGGACGACTATATAATATAGCTCCCATAGGAACAATCGGAAAAATAAATGAAAAAAAATTATAACTTTTCTGTTTTTTATTTTTTTGTTTAGTTCTTCGACATTTAGTAATGGTTAAATATTTCCGATTTACGGTTTAAATTTCATCAAAGTCGGACGACTATATCATATAGCTCTCATAGGAACAATCGGAAAAATAAATGAAAAAAATTATAACTTTTCTGTTTTTTAATTTTTTGTGTAGTTCTTCGACATATAGCAATGGTTAAATATTTCAGAATTATGGTTTAAATTTTATCAAAATCGGACGTCTATATCATATAGCTCCCTCAGAAATAATAAAAATGTATAAAATAACTATCAAATAATTGAGCTGCAAATCATCATAGCTTCAATGTTTTTAAACATATACGAAAGTAAATCATAATTTTAATGTTTTCAAAAATGTTTAATTCTTGCAATAGCTGCAAGGGTATATGAACTTCGGCTTGCCGAAGTTTGCTTTCTTTCTTGTTAAGAATAAATCCTGTAAATTTCATATCGTTCCGGTAAATAATTCGAGGTTACACCCAAATTAAAATAGGCGTTTCAGAATGCTTGCAAGTACAAGTTCAAACTTGTACCGCGATTTTGGTGTTTTCAAAGTCGGTGATCATCATTAATCAAAAACGGCTAAACCGATTAGCCTAAAATTGTAACTCAAGCTTCTTAAATATAGTTTTAGTAATTAATCGAAGATTTATTTCCGATTAAGATATTTTTTTATGACCGAATTTGTTCTTATAATTCATTTTTTTTGTTTGCTTATTCCTTTGATTAATTTCTAGATTAGACAATACTTTAACGACATCTCTTTGATTTTTAAATTTCGGAGGATCCAGTCAAAGGATATAGTGGTCACCGCAAAACCCGTAGATTACCTGAAGCTTCCTTCCAAATAAATATTATTCCAACACTTAGTCTTAAAATATATAATCAGATAACTAAATATTTTTCTCAGAATTTTTTTTTCGAAAATTCTCTTTAATTTCGGCTTTTTAACTGTAGACAACCCCTTAAAAAAAGACCCTCAAAACAAAATAAAATTATTTTCCCCTTAAAAAAAAGACCCTTAAAACAAAATAAAACTATTTTCCCCTTAAAAAAAAACCCTCAAAACAAAATAAAATTATTTTCGTGTATTTTTATTTTATATAACGTTAAAAGCAATTTTTTGAATAAATTTTTAGCTTTCGGTTGTAAGCTGCGACCATTAGGCAGTTTCTTATTTAATATAACAACTCCCATGGTATTGTTTTAAACCAGTGATGTCTACACAAATACAATGACATGTTATCCTGCATTTGTGTGCGTTAAACCGAAGACGCTTGCCGAAGCCACACGACAATTTACACTGTCGGTGTCGGGAGCGGGCCGGCAGAACTCGCCAATCGTGCGCGTGGACACCACTGTTTGAACGGTCATACATTGAGTACACAAAAAAAGTAATAGTTCAGTTTTAATAAGTGTGCCTTGAAAATAAAGTAGACACAGTATTAAAGTGTAAGTATTAATTTAATAAAAAAAAACCCTATTCTTTTTGTTTCATTTCTGTACCAAAGATTTTAAAACTGTATTCTAAGGCCTTCATTTTAAACCACACAAGTTTTAGTTTGACACTTCCGTATTATGTTCATATCAAAACATTTTTTATATCCAATAGTTTAAATTTCATCTATGTTGCACACTGCGGCCAAAGTTTTGGCCAAGAGTCCGTTTTTTTTCAGAAAATTAATAAAAGTAGTATGGGGCCCTTTTTAATATAGTTCAAGCTAATTTATGCCAACATTTCCAAGAATTTTATTTGATGGAATTTTTTTTACATATTTTTAAAGATGCAAAATGCAAATCACCCGAATAATGCGTGCTGTTTTGCTTTAGTTTTTGAGAATTGCGGTTTTAAGTATGGTCTTAGTTTGAAGGAAAGGCAATCTTAGAAGTCTATTGCAGCACAAAAGTATGCTAATATACGAGAACTAAAATACCTTCGCAAAACATTCAATATTGCGTACTCTTATCATAAAGCGTTTAAAATTAAAAAAAAACGTATAAATAAATTATTGTTTTTTAAGATGTATTTGCAAAGATGAAACAAAAAAATATATAATATATATTATTGGCGCTCCCTAGCTATACAGATAAAGAAACGTCAGATTTTTGGCCAACAAATTAGATTTCTGGCCCAGTGTGGGATGTCAAAGTAAGGTTACTGCTGTTCGTTTTCGGAAATATAGAAATTTAAGGTTACGGTATTACAACAAGTTTAGCCTTTACCGAATGAAGATTATTAACCAAAAATCAATGTGTTCCTGTATTTTGGAGTAAAAACATAATTTCTATCACCGCACTATGGGCTGAAGCACTATTTTTTGTGGCATTAATTAATAACTTAGAAACGAAATTAGATATTTGGGTTTTATTTTTTGACTTAAGCTTATATAAACAGAAGTAAGGAAAATTGGGGAAAAATGGCCGTGGTCCACTTTGACATAAAGAAGCGTGATCCTATTTTTTTCCGGGAAATCTTATTTTAGTACTTACTTCGACAAAATTTAAAACAAAATACCTGGATCCGAATTTTACAACTTTAAGATGTGACCCAAAAATGTAATTTTCGAAGAAAGTGCTCAACAGTGCACTTTAAAATTACATGCATTTGAGCAATAATTGAATAATAATAATTTTAAGTTGAAACTATTTTTGAATTTTTATTAAACAATTTTTTATGTTATGCTACTTAAAACACACAACTAAAAGGAATTTGAAAATCACAAACATATAGTACAAAACCCTTTTTTGCGATTTCATCAAAAATTTTCTTTTAAAACTTCTCAATTTCCCTGTTTTATGTATTATTATTGAAGATACTATATAATTAACAGAAGTTTAGAAGCGGTAGTTGTTATGAAATTCTACCCCAATCTTTGGTCTTTCAATAACTGTATCTTCTAAGTTTCGAGTTAGGTTGAAAAAGTTAAAAAAATTTTCGAACAGTTTTGTTGTTCATAAATAATTATTTTTGTTATCCGATGTCAGCAGCTGCCCACAAAGTCTTTATTTTGGATCGGAGGATCGGTCATTGAGGAAAACGCATCCGAATCGCTAAATAAAATTTAAAAACACTATGGGCAAACACAATTTAAACAAACTGCATTTTTTCGAACAGATACGATTTGCGGTAGGTGGAATATTTACCTGGCTATGCAATTAAATATTATTTTAATTTTGTTTTTACTGATTACAGTTTGAAAAAACTTCTATTCAATAAAATAGCACAGGAACAATGTCAAAGAACATTTTTTTTTTTAAATTGAGTAAACATGTTTCTTTTTATCCTACTTGACAAAATGCCCAAAGTTTAGACTTGTAGACCAGAATACCCCCTTAAATAAGAAATGTATTTTACCTTTACAGCTTTGTAAACTAAAATTTAGATCATAGAGCCGGCGATTTCGATACTGAAAAAGAACCATTAACTTACACTACCCAATTGTCTTTTGAATTCCAAGAAGATTTGAAATAAAAATATAAATAAAATTTTGTATTTCATTTTATGCCAAAGAAAAGTCAATCTGTCCCAGTGTGCATTTCTTTAATAAATGGCATTTCAATAAGTGGTTGCGAGGAAAGCACTTTTTTTTGCAATATCTTTGACCAAAATCATAAGGATACAATTTAAAAAGGTGAAGATGCGCTCTGAACAGGGCATGTGATTTGAAACTTGTCTGTCTTTGAACCCAAATGTCCGGTTAAGAGCGGGGCTTTAAGAAATACTGGTGTCGCAGAAGTGCGATAGTTCTGTTGTATAGAAGGGGTTGAAAATACAAGCGGAGCTTAAAGCTCCAACCGCGACCCTTCAGTTGATGTAACGGGAGCAGAGCGGGCTTTGACTTTGGCCTGGCTTCCGCAGGACGCGCATGCGCCCTCGCCGGCCAGTGTGGCCACCCCGCCAGTTTGCAAGTTGAGCTTGGGTCGAGCTTTCGAGCGGACGCAGAGCGCAGGGCTGGTGTGCGAGTGTGTACGTGTGTGTGGGCCCTGGCGCTGTGGTAGTATGTGATACAAAGTCGCCGAGTTGAAGTCTTGCGTTTGTTGAGTTTTTCGTCCAACTGGTGAGACAAAGTCGATGGCAGCTCCCGAGAATAAGCGGTTTTTGTTTTTTATTTTTAACGATTCGTAATTTATCAGCAAAAACGAGGCAGCCAGGAATCGGAAAACCAAGGCCCATGGCTGGTGTTAACAATTGAAGTGCAATTCATTAGTGCTGGTGCTGTGAAAATTCGACAATTCGAAAGTTGTGTGCGCTGGCATCCGAAATCGGGTCGAGTGGTGAAAATAAAACTACAAACATCCAACCAAGAAAAAGAATTGTCTGTGAGGGCAGCGTCAAAACGTCAAAGGGGGGGCGACAATGGCGACGACGGCAAAGGAAAAAGCCAAGTGAAAAGCGCTATTCTGTTGTTCGGTTATTTGGCCCTACTGAAGCCAAAAAACGACCTCTGGCTGCGTTTCTCCAGGCCCATCTGCGGCCAGATCAATTTTTGTAGGTCTCGCGGCCCCATGGTCTGTCTTTCAACTAACGGGATATCCACTAACGGGATATTCGCTCGATCCCATTTACCGTTACTAAACCTATCCCCAATATCTAGTTGAAAGTGTGTTGGTTTAAAGTTAACGCACCACACACAAACTCACAACTACATACATACGTATCCATACGTATACATATATACGCTTTGGGATTGGGTCAGCGGGTCGGTAGCACAACGGGCGGAATGTTGCGTCGGTGGTGCTGTATATTGCGGTAAATGGGATTGGAATTGGGATGGCAGTGATGTGGAGCGCCAGTGGACTTCGGTTTCGGGTTTCGGCCGGAGCGGCTATCAGTATATCGTTATTTTGTGACGTGTACACGCACAGCGCGAGGTGAATGAATTGTTGCGACGGACCAGCAACACACCGAATTTCATGCCACATGCTTTCATATTCCCCATTGTTTAAAAAGAAACTAGCACGCGAACTATGTACATGTATGTACATATGCATATGTATTTTCTCAAGCCCACAAATATTTACCAGTCGTCTTTTCCCCACGAATTTCAATGATATTCTTTCCTCCACGGAAGTGAAAACTTGTTTGTCCCTCTAGAATGCGGGCATATGAACAAACTTGCCGTAACTAACCGCATATTAACATCTGTATTAGCCCCAGAGCAACGGGACTTTCCTTCATTGCGGCACACATTCAAAGCGGCAGTGAACCAATTAGGTTTGGTGTAACCGAGAAAATGTTACATTTTCGCCCAGAAATTGATCCAAAAAAATAAAGTGGAGCAGGGCAGTCCCCAATAATAATTCAGTCAACTCGAGGGGAGAGGCAAGTGTGTCATTGTTGCTGTTTATTTTTGGCAATTACAGGTTCGTTGGTCCTACTGTTGCCCAATGGTAGCCACAATACATACATACATACATACATACATTCATTCTCCATTCCCGTTCCAAAAACATCGTATCGTCAACATAAGAAAGGCAGACTACTGTGCCTGGTGACGTCACTAGAAAAAATAAAAAGAGGTAGAGAGAGAGAGAGAGATTTATGTCAATTTGTTACAAGAAAAGATACCCGCAAAAGCAATAAAGGGTCATATTCATTCGATTCACTTAAAGCGAAAAGAACTGATAAATGTAACCAGATTTAATGGGCCCAAAACGGTAGTCAAGGAACTTGACTGAATGTTATCGTTATCGAAATGACCCAGTAATTGCTGAAATCAGTGAGAGGGTTTCCGCCGGTATGGGTGTGTGTGTGTGTGTGTGAAACAGAGAGTTAAAATTCGCAATTTCTGTTATCAGATATTAAACAATAAACCAAACTAATCAGTGAATTACCTGTAAACATATGCGTAATTTACCTTCAGTTTCCCCTCACATGATACACACATTTTGTTTTTCAAAAACATCAGAAAAGGTAAACAAGATTTCGAATGAGAACGAGAATAGCATTTCGTTCCTTCCCGTGATGTCGGAACTGAAAATCTCACCGTTTCGCAACTCACCACGGTCCGCATTCTGTGTGTGCGTGTATTGAGCTTTTTCGGTGGCTTATACATATACGTATGTGCCATTCTCACTCTTAGCCTCTAGTCTTTCATCCCCTAACTTTTTCATTCATGGCGTGTTTCAGTAATGGAATTTTATACCAAAATCCAAAATAACTTCATCCATCCATATCTACAGTCATAAACATCCCCGGCCAAGTAAATATGTTTGAACCACTTTATGGATCGCGGAAAATGAAAACACCAGCCATGCACTTTGTATGCACCCCTGTCAAATCATACACACATTTGCATGTACATATGTATGTATGTACACACATATATGTTCGTGCGCGAGTGTGTGAGCATGTTTTCAATAGGTCATGAACTGAATTGACCCGAGCATATCATAATTATCGGATGGCAAAATAAGTAGCACAACGCGCAACATTGAAACCGCCGCAAGCAATTGAAATGTACGTCCAAAAACAGATTAAGGAAACTGTCCAATTTTTATCGTGCAAATATTCGTACATGCGTACATACATCATATGTATGTATATGTATGTACATATGTACACCTCTTTGTGCCAAACCGTTAAAAGTACGCCGTGTATAATAATGATCATTTACAATCAAGTGACGGGCAAGCAATTCAAGTGGTGTCGGCGGGGATTAAATAAGTTATTCCCGATTTAAACAGCCATCTAATCGAGTTTATTTCCACTCAGTTAACGTGCAATAATAACACGGTAATGCTAAGAAGGTGAAGGATAGCAAAAGACAACAGCGAAAGCAATTCTATTCAAAGAGCGAGAAACGAGTCGAATAAGTCAAAAGTACGAGTCAACCAAACAGCAAAGAACCAAAGGAAGAGCCATAAAAACAAAGAGATACGGGCTACAGTAACAGTGAGGACGAGGTCGAAGGAAGGGGAAGAATCGGATCCGGAATCCTCCAGTCATCACTAGCAACAGCTAATCGGACTCTCGAGCTAAATGTCCAGTTGCCGCTATCGTGCCATACGGACGGCGTGTCACTCCCGACAAATGCGTATTGTGGTTGACCTTGTTTAATATAATTATGGCCGAGCGGTCGTTACAAAAGTATCAGAAATTGGATACAGTGACGGTATGTACCCCCATATTATCATTTATTTTGATTATTCAACAGAAAAAATATGTTACAGTCTAATATGGGAATTGTTTCTTCTTCGATCTGTCACATTTAACAGAAAAAACTTGAAGTCTGTCATACGATTAATGCGTGGGTGAATGCGTGGGTGGATGCGGGGGTGACAACAGTCTATACAAGGAATGTTCTATAAATTTCGGACCTTTATAGTGTTTAATGTGAAGAATGTGGATAGCATTGGTCAAACGGTTCGAAAGTTAGAGTTAATGCGTAGATGTGTGCGTGGGTGGATTGTGAACAGAATGTGTGGCTAAAAACCATCCTTGAACTAAGACGAAAAAGGTATGAAAGGTTTCATCAAATTCGGTTCGGCGGTTTATGAGTGATGGAATTACTGCTACTTTCTTGGCATTGATTTTTATATGTACATATGTATATATAGATTACCTCTCGTTCATGTGGCAGTCCTAATGATAGCCATTATTTCTTATTCCTTAATATTCAAAAGGATAATATTTTAATGTTTTTAATTTATTTATCATTCAATATTAAACAGGTCCTTGCACGTTAGGCCTAAAACTCACCAGAATCAAAAAACCCAAAGATGTAAAATTTTATACAAAACGTTGCTCATGAGATGTTCTTTTGCCTATTTTGTATAGAGAATATTGTTTTGTTGGCATTCGTTTTAAGGGTTTTTTCTTTTAGTGTACATATATATAAGAATACACACTGAAAGTTTCATATCGTTACGGTGAATATTTTCGAGAACAATTATGTTTAAAAAAACAAGAAAGGAAGCAAACTTCAAACTGCAGCTATTTCAAAAATTAAATATTCTTGGAAACAATTAAAATTAAATTTATTTGCGTATATGTTTAAATACACTGAAGTTATGATGATTTGCAGCTCCATTATTCGATAGTTCCTATGCCAGCTATACGATATCTTTTTCCGATTTTTATAGAATTAAAAGCGTAATTCTGAAATGTTAAATTATTAATAAGTCAAAATGATATCAAAAAAAATTACAAATTAAAAAAGTTAATTTTTTTCAAATTTTTTTTTTTTTTAATATTTTTATTGTTTCCATGAAAGCTTTAAGTTATAGTCGTCCAATCTTGATGAAATTTAAACTCAAATTCTGAAATATTTAACAGTTTTTTAGTTAACAGTTTTTAGTTAAATTAAAAAACAGCAAAGTTATAATTGGCTTTATAGGGTCGGAAACGTCTCCTTCATTGCGTTGAAAACTTCTGACTGAAATAAAAGCGACAAGTTTTTTTTCACAAATAATTTAATAATTTGCAAACCTGATATCAAGTTAGCAAATCATCTTATGATTTTAAGAAAAACTGAGCGTCAATTTTTATACCCTTGCAGACCCTGGGTATTATAGTTTCAGTCAGAAGTTTGCAACGCAGTGAAGGAGACATCTCCGACCCTATAAAGTATATATATTCTTGATCAGGATCACTAGCAGAGTCGATCGAGCCATGTCCGTATGTCCGTCCGTCTGTCCTTCCGTTTCTACGCAAACTAGTCTCTCAGTTTAAAAGCTATCTGCAAGAAACTTTCTATTGCAGGTAGTATATAGGTCGGAACGAGCCAGATCGGACGACTGTAGCATATAGCTTCCATAGGAACAATCGAAAAAAAAAAATATAAAATTGCTGTTTTTTAATTTTTTTTTATTTCTTCGACATATAGTTAATGGTTTCATCAAAATCGGACGACTATGTTATATAGCTCCCATAGAAATAATATAAATATATAAAATAGCTATCTAATAATTAAGCTGCAAATCATCATAGCTTCAATGTTTTTAAACATATACGCAAGTACATCTTAATTTTAATGTTTTCAAAAATATTTAATTCTTGCAATAGCTGCAAGGGTATATGTCACTCCCGACAAATGCGTATTGTGGTTGACCTTGTTTAATATAATTATGGCCGAGCGGTCGTTACAAAAGTATCAGAAATTGGATACAGTGACGGTATGTACCCCCATATTATCATTTATTTTGATTATTCAACAGAAAAAATATGTTACAGTCTAATATGGGAATTGTTTCTTCTTCGATCTGTCACATTTAACAGAAAAAACTTGAAGTCTGTCATACGATTAATGCGTGGGTGAATGCGTGGGTGGATGCGGGGGGTGACAACAGTCTATACAAGGAATGTTCTATAAATTTCGGACCTTTATAGTGTTTAATGTGAAGAATGTGGATAGCATTGGTCAAACGGTTCGAAAGTTAGAGTTAATGCGTAGATGTGTGCGTGGGTGGATTGTGAACAGAATGTGTGGCTAAAAACCATCCTTGAACTAAGACGAAAAAGGTATGAAAGGTTTCATCAAATTCGGTTCGGCGGTTTATGAGTGATGGAATTACTGCTACTTTCTTGGCATTGATTTTTATATGTACATATGTATATATAGATTACCTCTCGTTCATGTGGCAGTCCTAATGATAGCCATTATTTCTTATTCCTTAATATTCAAAAGGATAATATTTTAATGTTTTTAATTTATTTATCATTCAATATTAAACAGGTCCTTGCACGTTAGGCCTAAAACTCACCAGAATCAAAAAACCCAAAGATGTAAAATTTTATACAAAACGTTGCTCATGAGATGTTCTTTTGCCTATTTTGTATAGAGAATATTGTTTTGTTGGCATTCGTTTTAAGGGTTTTTTTTTTTTAGTGTACATATATATAAGAATACACACTGAAAGTTTCATATCGTTACGGTGAATATTTTCGAGAACAATTATGTTTAAAAAAACAAGAAAGGAAGCAAACTTCAAACTGCAGCTATTTCAAAAATTAAATATTCTTGGAAACAATTAAAATTAAATTTATTTGCGTATATGTTTAAATACACTGAAGTTATGATGATTTGCAGCTCCATTATTCGATAGTTCCTATGCCAGCTATACGATATCTTTTTCCGATTTTTATAGAATTAAAAGCGTAATTCTGAAATGTTAAATTATTAATAAGTCAAAATGATATCAAAAAAAATTACAAATTAAAAAAGTTAATTTTTTTCAAATTTTTTTTTTTTTTAATATTTTTATTGTTTCCATGAAAGCTTTAAGTTATAGTCGTCCAATCTTGATGAAATTTAAACTCAAATTCTGAAATATTTAACAGTTTTTTAGTTAACAGTTTTTAGTTAAATTAAAAAACAGCAAAGTTATAATTGGCTTTATAGGGTCGGAAACGTCTCCTTCATTGCGTTGAAAACTTCTGACTGAAATAAAAGCGACAAGTTTTTTTTTCACAAATAATTTAATAATTTGCAAACCTGATATCAAGTTAGCAAATCATCTTATGATTTTAAGAAAAACTGAGCGTCAATTTTTATACCCTTGCAGACCCTGGGTATTATAGTTTCAGTCAGAAGTTTGCAACGCAGTGAAGGAGACATCTCCGACCCTATAAAGTATATATATTCTTGATCAGGATCACTAGCAGAGTCGATCGAGCCATGTCCGTATGTCCGTCCGTCTGTCCTTCCGTTTCTACGCAAACTAGTCTCTCAGTTTAAAAGCTATCTGCAAGAAACTTTCTATTGCAGGTAGTATATAGGTCGGAACGAGCCAGATCGGACGACTGTAGCATATAGCTTCCATAGGAACAATCGAAAAAAAAAAATATAAAATTGCTGTTTTTTAATTTTTTTTTTATTTCTTCGACATATAGTTAATGGTTTCATCAAAATCGGACGACTATGTTATATAGCTCCCATAGAAATAATATAAATATATAAAATAGCTATCTAATAATTAAGCTGCAAATCATCATAGCTTCAATGTTTTTAAACATATACGCAAGTACATCTTAATTTTAATGTTTTCAAAAATATTTAATTCTTGCAATAGCTGCAAGGGTATATGAACTTCTACCCGCTGCAAGGGTAAAAAAATACTTTAGAAATGCAGTCCTAACGAATGATCTAGGGAAGCTCAAATTCAGTCGAATGTTCGGTGGCGGGTTGTTGTACTCATTTAAAACCATAATCAAGGATAAAAACAAGAAAGAAAGCAAACTTCGGCAAGCCGAAGTTCATATACCCTTGCAGCTATTGCAAGAATTTAACATTTTTGAAAACATTTAAATTATGATTTACTGCGTATATGTTTAAAATCATTGAAGCTATGATGATTAGCAGCTCAATTATTTGATAGTTATTTTATATATTTTTATTATTTCTATGGGAGCTATATGATACAGACGTCCGATTTTGATAAAATCTAAACCATAATTCTGAAATATTTAACCATTGCTATATGTCGAAGAACTAAACGTCGAAGAACTAAACAAAAAATTAAAAAAACAGCAAAGTTATATTTTTTTTCATTTATTTTTCCGATTGTTCCTATGGGAGCTATATGCTATAGTCGTCCGATTTTGATGAAATTTAAACCGTAAATCGGAAATATTTAACCATTACTAAACGTCGAAGCACTAAACAAAAAATTAAAAAACAGCAAAGTAATATTTTTTTTTCATTTATTTTTCTGATTGTTCCTATGGGTGCTATATGCTATAGTCGTCCGATCCGGCTCGTTCCGACTTATATACTACCTGCAATAGATAGACAACTTTTGGGAAAGTTTCATGCAGATAGCTTTAAAACGGACGGACAGACGGACATGGCTAGATCGACTCTACTAGTGATGCTGATCAAGAATATATATACTTTATAGGGTCGGAGATGTCTCCTTCTCTGCGTTGCAAACTTCTGACTGAAATTATAATACTCTCTGCAAGGGTATAACAAGGGCGAACACCGTTCTGCGAACCTAAAGTCATGACAGATGTAGAAGACGACATTAAGCAGAACAGGAAGGAGCGGGTTCCGAAATAAAGGTCGAAACGAAAGGATAGCTTCTTAAGCACTCTTAATATGACGATTTGTAGTGGCCCCAAATATTGGTAAAAGCGTTCATACGATTAGTGGAGACAGATCTGCCAAACTAA